CACAACGATATAGTACTTCAAGATGCGCATCTGCATGGTGCTGTTGAATTTGTTGAAAAGTATAAAATGATATAGTTGGGCATTTCTTGCATAATATGTGAATGCTATTCTCAATGAAATGATCTACAAGGTGAGATATTCGAGCCTGAAAGCATTTGAAAGTGTTTAGAAACAAAAAGTATGCATTAGTCATTTACGTCAATTGTCTAAAATTTAATTTCTGCTTGCATTATTTAGATATTAATTAATTAACTGAATTATTTAAACACTGAAATGAACACAGTTCTATTCATTTATCATTAATTAGTTAATTAATTAGTTAATTACAAATTAATTAATCAGTAAATATTGCTAAATAATTACTATAGGGTCATAAAAGGCAACGTTGCAAAAATTGCATTTCTGCTTTTGATCAGAATTTATCAAATGACTTCGCATATGACAGCCAAATTCAATAAAATTTGGCAGTGTTGCGTCGCACTGTTGACAAACTAACGATGCAATGGCACTACTATTCTGGCATATCTGAAATGCTAATTAAATCAAATAATCAAAGTTCAATCTTGTTGAATTGATTCAAATTGAAGTTTATCAAGCTTTTTGCTCTCTCTGAATATCACGTCATTTTCTTCACGTAAAATATGCAGTTCAAGCAATTTCAATTATTTGACGTATTTATGATAAGAAATCTCTTTATGAAAAAATTATGCAAATTTTACTTTTGCTGTTTTATTTTTTACTAAAAATAAAAACAAAGTTGTATACTTTATCATTTAATGAAATGGTATTGGCTTTATCGTCTTCCATTTTGATAAGTTGCTGCGCTTGCTTAAAATATAGATAACTATTAGTCTTAACTAGCTTAATAGTTTCATTTTCATGACAAAATAGCTAAAAGACATAAAATGTTTTAATATTTGAGCAAACATTAGTTTAACTGAAGTAATAATGCCATAGTTATGTACAATTTTGTGCAGATCAAAGCAATACAATCTAAACTATTAAGCTCTAAAATACTTTGAGTGATTACTGTGAAATGACTTATGCCACAACTGCAAGAGAACTAAATCAAACCTATGGCAATTTAGTTCGTTTTTGCAACTTTAGTTACTAGAAATATCGTTTTATTTTTTCTTGAAAATTTGGTATAGATTAACATCTACAGTAATCACTCAAAGTATTTCAGATGTCACAGTAATCACTCAGAGTATTTCAAATACCTAAATTATAGCAGTATTTTGTTTATTGTGCTCAAAACTAAGTTTTTACAAACGTTCTACTTACTGACTTACTTCTTTAATTAATTAATCGCAGAAAATAAGTAAGAAAACAGAATACTTGATGTTTTTGTAATGTGTGATGCTGCAGTGTTGTGATGCTATCGAAAATAGTCCCACAAAAACTACAAGCTATTTTGTTATTTGCGCTTTCTGCTTCAGGATGATATTCAAGATTAGACTTTGTTTTTGTTGCTTGAATCTCAAATTTTCTGCCAACTTTTTGTTTGCTTAAAAGCATCATTAATTGAAGTCCAGTTTTTGATTTAGATTACAATTTTGATCTATAAGTATTCAAAGACGGTTCAATATTCAAAATTTTTCAACTAATCACTATTGATAAGTGAAGGAAAGTATTCTTAAAGATCTGATCTACTGAATGTAGAATGAAAGACAAACATTTTTTTCTGCGGCAACCTTTCCTGACCCTCTTTTGAACTGCAACTTTCCATCATGACATCTTCTTAAATAATCATAAAATACACACACTAAGACGAGAATTAATAAAAGTATTCATTCATTAAGCATACAAATTTTTTATTCAATTATTAAAGTATGAAAACGGAATTTTATTTTTAAAATTAATAATTCAAAATGAATTAATGGAAATACCTTTGAATGGTTTGGGCGTAAACTGCTTTCTTTTTGTGGACATAACTGATAAGGTGAATGTTTGACTGCTTGATATTTAAAATAATTGAAGTGAATCAAAATTTTTGCTTATCAATTTTAGAGAGCGAACTTGAGAGAAAGATATGCTGGGATTCGCAGCCTGTAATAAAGGAAGTAGAAGGAAGGGATAAGACGGATCAGCTTTAACGTTATCACACTAAAGCAGAATTCCCGAGAGATATGGGTTTGTCAAAGTGCTGAGTGGGTCACCATCAGAGTCCCAAGGGAGTTTAGTCCCCGAGTAGTCTGAGGACTTTTCAGTACTCTCTCTACTTAATTAGCTGGTTAGAATTGCCACACCAGAGCTATATTTCTGCTTATCTTGTTCAAATCCCTAGAGATTTCGTTTCTATGAAATTAGGAAATAAGTATTATTTAAAAGATCTTTCCAGGAAATCAATTTGGTTCAGGCAGTTTCAATTAGATAATTAATTTGGCATTTTTCAATTATTACCCAAAAGAGCGCAAAATTCGTTGGATTAGCAGAAATTTACATTAGATTTTTCCCACTTAACTAATAAAATATTAAACTTTAAATTAATATTTGACGCTTAATGTGTAGAATTTTTAACTAAACTTGACACCTTGGTTATGCTAATTTGACAGAAAGTGGATTTTAACGGATGAAGGAATTTGAAAGTGACAGACTTTCTCTGTCAAGCCCTCCTTCCCTACATCTGCTGCATTGAAAAATTTAATGCAATTATAAGAATATTAATTTCAATCCATAGGAGCAAAGCCTGTAAAGTCAGCTGACGATGTCACGTCAAAAACTTGAGAACTTATTCTAAAGTTCAGTTATCAAAATTTGACATTCGATCAGCTGTTCCTCAATTTACGTGCATATTTGCTAGGTGATTAAAATCAAGTGGAATACTTCTTGCATAAACTTATTATCATTTGAAACTTACAACCCATTTAAGAGCAGCAAAAAAATGTTAAATAATGCTGAAGTCATTAACAAATTTATTGATAATTACACGAATTTTGTCAGAAAAAATTTTTCGTATTAAAATTGACACGAAAAACGTGCAATTTACATATTTTTACTACGTGTTAATTGTGTCTCAAAATAATGCAGTATATCGAGAAAATAATTAAACTACACGTAACTAATAATTTAGACGTAAATAAAAAAGTAGGATCTTTATTTTTGACTATTGACAAGATGAAAAATAGAGCACTAAAATGGCTTGGCGACGAACAACTTTATGGCAGGTAGTAAATGAGAGGAAATTACATTGCTTTGTAAATTTGTTATTTAAAAAGAACAAAGTGATAAAGGAAATTAAGTTATTAAGCATTTTGGTAAAATAAAGAAGTCAATAAATCGAAGTGATCACTTCAATAGATTATCGCATAATTGGAAACATAATCAGTAATTTTAATAAAATTAGTGGATCAAAATCAAATTAATAAATTCTATGCATCACATAATTTTCAATAAACATATACTTAATAACTGACTAAAAGCTACAATATAATAGTATCGAACCAATTCACATAGAATACATTTGAACCATATCGTCTTTAGATTTAATTTGTGCAGAAACAGGTTGAAATTCACCGAATTCAGACCATCTGAGACAAAAGCAAATCGCAAATGTGAGAGCGAATAACTGAAAATTGTATTGCTTTTATGTGGTTACTTCAAAATACAATGAATTAATAGCAGTTATTTACTTTACTCACATTATTTTTCTAAATATAATAAGGATAGGAATTATAATTTTTTTAAAATTTTGAGAATACAAACATGTACCAAACGGTATCAACAAACCTGTACAATAGTAAGTGCTACTCCTGCACCACTTATTATTAATAACTGTTGCTGTGTTATTTTTATTAAATAATGCAAACATCCCTGAAAATTTCCATCCAAAATAAGTCGATTCTAATTTGTTTTGAGGTGCAAAACAATAAATAACTTAATAAGTTGTGTAAAGCAATGGTAAAGAAGTAAGTAATAACCAAATTCTTATCAAAAATATATTTAATATTAACGAAATATCTCACGTCATAATAAATATTGGAAGGGTGGTCACGACGTCCACACTCTGGTCCTTCCTTGCGGCAACAGAATTCTGGAACAGCAAAATCAAAAGAACGCTGTTTGACGTTTGCAACACTGTTCACTTTTTGCCACCAAATAGAATTTCGCCAGTCTTCAAAAGATTGCGAACCGCAACAGTGACCCTTGATCATAGCAGTTATAATTATATAATTATTTAAAAAATATTTTTAAAATAAATTCTGAAGTAAATATGAATTACAAATTAACAAATTACTACTGACTGATACAGTGGAATTAAACAAAATGAACAAATTAGAACTAAAAATTAGATTACAAAAATAAAGATTTATACTTATTTTAGTTCAAATTTTCTTAAAATTCCACTGCATCAGTAGTAATTTGTTAATTTTACTCGAATTTGAAGTTTTGTTAAAACATTTCGTTTTATATTTCAATTTGGTTTTTAATTAATTCCTTAAGATCATTCTAACCTCTCGATGCAGATACTGAAGTGACTTAGAAATATCATCCTTGTCAGAGTAATCACGGATTACTGACATGAGTAAACTTGATCCGAGATTATCTTCGACTCTTTCAATATCGATATAAGCCAAAATGCATAAACTTAATCCAAATAGCAGTGTTAATAGTGCCAAAATTAAATACTAAATTGAATAAATAAATTAATTAATTATATTTAAGAGTTAAGTAACAGTCACGTATGAATGAATACGTGCTGAACCAAATCTCATACAATAACATTTACTTAAAAGTTATAATTACAAACAAAAAAATGAATACATTTACTTTCGATACTTTACATCTTTTTAACTTTTGTTGATTGAAACTTCAAAAAGTATCACCAACTAAGAGCATAAGTGACCGTTTCCTTTTGAAAATAGCACAATGGCCAATAGAAGCTGTAAAAAATACTGCGAATCCGATAATAAAGCACAGAATGATACATTTTGCATAATTTGTATCACCAAAAAATGATCCAAACATTGTAAATTTCATGATATAAATCCAAATGCTTAATCCAATAAATGCTGCAGAACTAATCTGCAAAGTGTGCATACATTAGTTCTAATCTAAAAACAATATTTGATTTTTTTTCAATTTTTAATTAAGAAAATTGAAATGTTTACTTTAGTAAAACATTGAGAAATTTTTTTTTGTAAAATAAATTGCAGCATAAACTAACATAAAATACAATATTGAAAAAGTAGATAATCATTCTTAGAAACGTAATGTCCACACAGCCATTTTCTATTTTTGTTATTTGTCCACTTTGACCATTCTTTACATTCATTGTTATGAGGTCATAGAAACTATAAAACACGTAAGTTTTAAACGTTAGTAGTGCTATAACTACTTTTTTACAGGCAGTTTTGCTTAAATAACACATTTTGATGGAAAGCATCACTGCAAAACCAGTTTTACTCGTTTTTTGTATGCAAAATTAAAATACAAACTCCTATTGCCTTCTTACATTTTCATTTAAAATACTTTACTAACCATTTCAATACTTTTACAATCAGTTCTTTATTTTAAAAACATAATACTGTGGATAATTTTTGTTTTTAAATTTAAAAATGACGCAATTAAATGCCAACCCTTACTACGATTCAAATATTCATAAGCATTTACAATGTAATCAAAGAGGAGTCAACGACCACTTGTGGCAGAAACTAAGAAATTTGTCTAAGGAAATTTTGTTTAGTATTTTCAGAGACATGTACATAGGTACTAAATCGGACGTTAGTATGTAAGTCATTTGCGCGCTAGCATTAATTCCCGACCAGATCGTTCACGCCCATACTCCTAACTACTGCATTTCAGTGAATGATTAATTCACGTCAATGAGATCGTTTCATTCTTTTACAGTGCTGTTACTGTATAGTGTGCGTTTTCCTTGCAAATTACTTCTCACTTTGTGTAATAATATTCACGCATGACTCAGTTTGAAATCAAATTATTAAAGAGGAATGAGTAGAAGTTTGTCAATGCAATTGAATTAATGTAATTTACTGGAATAGAGCAACATAAATACATGACCACTTCATTACCACACAGTACAATTTGTATTAAACCGAAACACTCTGATGCCAAACATGTCTATGTTTAGTGCAGTTCAACAACCTAATTATTAAATTATCATTCCTCTCAATAAAAATTAAGATATCATTCCCTTACTACTTAATTACTTATAATTAACTTAATATTATTTCACAACCAACTTCCTACTTCTAAATATTATAAATTATGTGCATTTAAAGTATGTAGCAACGCAGCCTGCATGTCAACTAAAATATAATTTGCATCATAAGTCATAAGTCTTTTAGCTCAGTAGCATTTTGGCTAGCAAGTCTCTAATGAGCTTTCAGGCAATAATGATTATGCTCATAATACAGAATAGTTCATAAAATGCTTCTATTATGATATCCAAAGAAAAAATTACTGAAGCAGATGCAATGATTTAACTTCAGGGCAAGTTCAGGTTCCAATGCGGCCATTTTCATTTCAATTCATCAACATTTGTTTTCGCAAAATGGCATTTGCTAAACCACAATTTATAGCTACTTCTCAAAAAATAAACTGCAAAGACCAAAATATAGCTAATCATTAAAAAGACCCAAATATTTAAATAATCACGACAAATTACTCCCCATTCAAACATTATTATCGCCTTTTATCATACATTCATTACATATAACAAATAAAAGATAACAAGAAACTGAGCAAAAATCTTTATTTTCTTAACACATTTATAAATGCTTTTTTAGGAATCTGCACTTGCCCTACCTGCTTCATCCGTTCCTTCCCCTTATTCTGTTCTGCTAGTTTCTTACAAAGCCGTTCCCATCCACCACCTACAAATTTATGAAATGTTATAACCTTTCCACAACTATTTTGTAATTAAAAAAAACAAAAAAGTCAACAGTATATTTCATAACCTGAGACTCCTGCCAAATTATCTGATTATGTTACCTTTGATACATATCACTTTACTAAATAATGATTTTACAAAGATAAACATATGTTCAATAAACCGATAAATACAAAAAAATACATGTAGCAAATCATTGAATGCGAAAAATAAAAATGAATGCAAAATTTGGTTAATAAAAGACTGAAAATGAATAAATAACCTCCAAAGTTGCCTTTTAGACGACCGGTGAAATCTTTCTTAATTGGAGCAATAACAGTTTGTGTTAGAGCCTTTTTTGTCAGTCCAAGAGTAGCTTTAATTTTCACTTCATATTGTTGACGAGGTATTTCCTACAACACACATTTCTTGAATTTTCGTTTTTAAGAGTTTAGACAATTTTCTTTTCAACAGTGAAAACATCATGATGCCATTTCATGGCTATTTGACAATATTAACATTTCTCTGATGTACTACGGCATTTCATGTTTATGAAAAATTAAGAATTTATAAGCAAAAATGTTCTTGTACTTTCCAAAAAACAATAAGACTTCTTGTTTTATAACTTTCATCAACGTAAATTGAAGTGAGATAGAATCGGTGACTAACCTCTCGGAGTCTTTGAACTATAACTTTGGCTCTGTCCTTCACGCGGCTTAAAGGTACGATCTCAGAGAATTCATAAATAGGTCGATCGTTGACATGGATCATAAGAAGTGCAATTCTTGCCGGTTGAAAGTCATCCCACTCATAATTAAATGTAGCATAACCACTAGAGCAAAAAAAAAAACGAAATGAATAGTGATTGACAACTAATAAATACTGCAGCTTTAATGACTACCCAAAAAACCAATAAAATAAATATTTCTATCATAAATAGCCAACAAACCTAGTGATCCTTTTCAATCTTTCAAAGAAATCTATGCACACTTCTGCAAATGGTAATCGCCACTGCTGCATAGTATTTTCTGCATCCACAGCGTTACTTTCAACTTAATAAAAAAAAATTAATAGACTCTCGAATTCGACGTTTATTTTCCTTTTACTAATTGGGATTTCTTCAGAAAAAAAATTAGCACGATATGTTGACCTCGCTTTCCACGAGCAGCTACACAGAGATCATCAATTTGCTGGCTATGTGTAGTTGGTAATAAAACTGTCAACTTTATCATTGGCTCCAAAAAATGATCGACATCGCTGGGGTTAGCTGGAAAATGACTAGCATCCAGAAGACGGATAATACGCTGACCATTGTATCTAGAAAAAGAACTGGAAAGTAAGATTTGTATTAGATGAGAGTAAAACAAACCACAAGCTTAAATGACAATTCCAATTTACTTATTAAAAAAAAGCAAATACATATTCTTCCTTTTGATTTAAACATGCTACAAACCTTTTTCTGATTATATTTGGATTATCTTTGATAACTGCACGGTATTCAACAGTTGGCGCTGTTACGGTAACATCAGCATTATATTCTTGCTCCAATCTGGCACAAAAAACCTACAACTGTTTTACTTTTGTGAGAAAATATATAAGACAATAAGACAAGATTGAAAAATAAGGAAAAAAAATCTCGTAAATTTCACTTTAACCCATTAAAAACCAAATCTACAGATTTTATAGATGAGCTAATACCTCCATATGCAGAAGTCCAGAGAAACCAATTTTGAAACCATTTCCCAAAGCACTACTACTATCATGCTGGATTTGAACTGATGAATCATTCAACGCTAATTTATTCAGCGCATCACGTAAAGCGTTATAATCACTACCATCTACTGGATAAATACTGGCGTAAATGCATGGTGATTTGGGCTGAAAACTTTGTAATGATCTAATTTCACGATTCTTCAGAATTCAGCAAAAATAAATGACAATTCTATCTAGTTCTTGTCTGAAACACCAGTTAAGTAATAAACTGGTAAGCTAAACAAGATCACAGATAGCATCGAAATATGCTAACTTATCAACTAACCATAACTTAAATCCGAACCGTGAATAAAGCCATTGGTTGCAACAAATCTTTTTCACAGCTGGGATCATATAATGTTTCTCCTACTAGAGCATCTTGGACAGATTTCATCGTTGTTAGGAGGTAACCCACTTGGCCAGCATACAAACGCTGAAGCAACTTCTGCATTAAAACACATGAAAGAATCCGGGCAAAAACCCAGCAACTGTATTTACCTTGAGAGAAATTTGATAGGACAATAAAATAAAACTGAGAATAAAGCTAAAAAAATCCAATTTATAAAATAAGGAGAAAAAAGGTACTAAACTAATTGACCTGCACTTCATACATATTAGGATGCATGATGCCCACTTCTAATACTTCGTAAACACAATCAGTATGATAGGTTCGTATTTTTTGTCCTTTGCAAACAAAGCCCTCATGAACAGCTACGCAAATTACTGGGCCACGATAAGTTTCATACCAAGAATCAAATATATGTGCTCGAAAAGATGAACTGCATTCAACTTTAGGCGGTGGACACCTAAAAAGAATTCAAAATAATATATAATCACTGTTTACACAACAGTTAACATTTGCAACAACTTAATTTGGAAGTTAAAATAATCTCAGAATCAGTCTAAACAAATTAACCTGTCAATAATAGCATCCAAAACTTTGTCAGTATTTGTACCATTTTTGGCTGAGATATGAAGTATTTCTGATGGTGAGAAATCAAACAGATTTCCCATTTGTGTTACAACCTGAAAATGCACAAAACAGCATTCACAAAATATAATCATTAGAGCACTTCGTGTGGTACTACAAAGTATTTTTGATAATTAATAAGATATAGGACCCCATCAGCAATAGAAAGTTCAAGAATCTTCCTAAAGTTTAATAAACGAAAAAAATTGAGGGAAAAAACTATAATACAAGCACTGCTGAAAACATAAATTAGTGAAAACGAAACGCACACGTGAAACATTGGCGCTGTTAAGATCAATTTTATTAATTATTGGGATTATTGTTAAACCTGCTTCGAAAGCTAGCCAAAAATTAGCCACTGTTTGAGCCTGTACACCCTGAAAATCTTTTTTCTTTCAGAAATATTTGAATATTTACGTAAAATGGCTACGATCAACAAAATCGAATGATCTCAGCTTATATTTTTTATCAGTAACCTGATTAGCAGCAACAAGAAGTAGGATACCATTAGCAACAGAAAGTGATCGCGAGACTTCGAAACTGAAATCAGCATGACCAGGAGTATCAATCAAATTTAACATGTAATCCTGAAAAACTGCCAATTTCTTATCCTACTTGTTTAGTGAGAGGATTTTTCAAAAAATGTTAGCTATTAACTATAGCCTTCTATACTGAAACAAAGTAATTCCGCAAGAGAACAGCAAATAGCATTTAAGTATAAAAAATATATAGAAAAACGATCATTTTATTTTAAACATTAAAAAAATTTAATCATCGGTAATTTACCTTATGAAACATAGAGCAAGACTGCGCTTTTACCGTTATACCACGATCACGTTCTACCTGAAGAACAATATTCTTAGTACATCAAGAACAACAGGCCGCAAAAAAATGACAAATCGCAGTAAAAAAAGATAACCTGTAGTTTGTCAAGCATTTGATTGGCGTGATCATTTTTACCTATGACACCCGTTAGTTCCAGAATCCGGTCTGCTAGTGTACTTTTACCGTGATCTACGTGAGCTACTATCCCAAAATTACGGATTTTCTCTGGAAAATAACTAAAGTTTTTTAGATTAAACATGGGATAATTATTGTAGAAAGTAAAAAAAGAAAGATGTACTCATCTATCGACAAGGAAAGCATAAGCTGTATGAAGTGTATCAAGGCTGTCGAGGAATGAATAGTTATCTGAGAAGAGAATCAAGAAATCACCTGCCGGATATACGGATAAATCAATAAACTTTTTCTTGGATCCTTTACGTGACTCTTCAGCGGAAGATGATGCAATGAACTGTCTTCCTGAGCCCACAGTAACACCAAAATATTTTGGAGCCTTCCACGCAATATTTCGTGATGCCATTTTCGCTACTATTCATGCCCCATACTGGAAATTAATACTATCACAAAATCAATCTAACTCATTACTGGCAAGTTCAACATTAATAAAGATAACTTCAACTGAGAATATTCTTAATTTCGTCATCCACCTTCTGATTACATTACCAACAAGATCGTTCACATATATAACACAGACGCCAAAGACGCTGCTCAAAATTATATCTGACACTGCAGTAATTTTCCGGTAATTCAGGAAGTGAAGCCTACAGCTTCCCAACGTACTCCATTCAATAAACACGTGAAAACAGGATGAGTGCTGAACATTTATGATTCATTCAAGAAAAAAGCGTTATACACCACACACAGGACATGAAACAATTAATTTGCACTACTAACGTTTTTGTAAGCTTCGGACGAAAATTATTTGCAACACGAGAAGTCATGTTTTGCAATCACTTCATGTCAGCTCACTGTGAAATGTACTATCTCACACATCAAAAGCCCAGTCTTACTCAGGATGTAATCGCTCATCTCAATGCATACGATCTAAATGTGTCAGAATCTCTGTACCAAGTAGCAGTAATTCTCACAATTACAACCATCACCGTTTGCTATTATTCAAATTTTTTTTACGACCAGTTTTTTGGCGGTAAATTGAAGGCAAAATCACAATAATATACAAGTAATCAATTTGATTACTGCTGACGCTTCTAATAAAAATGTTTGAATTCGAGATACAAGATATACGGAGGAATGCGGTTTTTTTGCGATTAAATATGATTAAATTCATTCACAAACATTATACTTGGCGTTCGCTTGCATTAATTTTTCTGAATTAATCATTACAAAATTATTTCTTTTGCGGAAAACGAAACTGTTTCTTCTGAATATTTTAAAGTTCTTAACAATTTTTTCCAGAAATGAATAGGAAATAACAGTTGAGCACATCTTAATGCATTTATGCATTCAACTTTACTACTCTTCTTAGGTTTCGAGATGGTTTTTGTGTATATTAATTTGTGCATATTAGCATTTGTATTTTGGTAACAAAGTTATTTGCCCAAATCAAATACAGCAGATATTTTTGTCGGTGGGGAATGAGCAAATACTGTAATATACAAAGTATTTCCCCTCAGCCTGACTTGGAACTTTGTGATTTTTGTGTTACTGATGCCGATACAACGGTACTACCGAGCGGTGTATTAGCCTGTAAAGGAAATACATTCTGAGTAATTGAAACCCAATTATAATATGCAATATTAAATTTGAGAAAATCTTCAAGAAGAAAAGTACTTACAGTACTGCCGAACAAATTTCCACTATTTAGATCTGGAGGTAAGTTAGCCAGTAACTTTTTTGTAAATGGCGCAAGGTGATTAAGTGGTTCAGAAAAGCGATATCTTGGAGGTAAATTATCAATAATCATCGCCACCTATGTAAAGAACTGTATTTCCACACAGTCATTAAAGTAAATTGTTTTATTACTAATTTCTACCACGTTTACAGCATAGTTGTCGATCTTAATGCATAAATTATAAGTATTTCTTTCTCACTGATGAAAACTTAATTACTTGTTTGGTATTTACTTCCAAGTGGTGATCTTTCACATTTGCAACGATTGTTTCGATTATGATTCCAAGATTCTTTGCTATTTCATACACTATTGTCCTGAAAATAATGCTTGAAACTGATTACCACAAATTTAATTACTTCCAATTAATGTAAAGTTTTGAATTCATCCAGTAATGTTCGCTTTTTTCTAATATTTAAAAAACGTTTCTCTCCTGATTTATCAACAGATCTGTTTTGAGCAACTAACAACTGCGCGTTTCATTTAAACTCTGACTATACATTTCAGTGCTTCCGTATCACAGTTTCAGTAAACACATAATGAAAAAACGCTAACCTGAAATTATTAATCTGTCCTTCAAGCTTTTTAATAAATTCCTTTGTAAAATTTCCATTTTCAGGCGGCTTATTAATGAGCGCGATATTTCTGAAGTTTGAACTTGGACGGATATATTTGGCATACGAGGGCTGAAGATTTGCAGTAGTTGAAGAAGGTTAATTATTTTCACTCATTGAAAATGAACATTCTCGATGTTCAACATACCATTCCCAAAAAGATATGATTTAGATATACATACTTTTGAATCCTTGCAATCAGAACTATCAGAAATTCAATACGACTTAACTTACTTTCATTTTTTGAATATCCTTTCGTGAGATTTCTTTAATAGCAAACAGTTCTGTGAGAATTTGCGTCATTTCAAAATTTGTGAGAGCATTTGTTAATAAATTTTTGAATGATTTTTTGTGTATTTCGATACCTGTTTTATTAGCATCAAACCATCTGCAAAATTGCAATCAAATTTGATCACAACTAATTACCAAACTGATTTTCAGTTCTTAACTTATAGTAGTACAATACATAACTCCATGAGTTATTGATCAAAAACAATGAATTACTATGATGGAATTACTTATCGTACTCTAAGCTTAACAGTTCGTTATCATGGCTAAATGACATCCATTTATGATTATATAATTAGTGAAAAAAAGACCTGCAAAAATGGAAAGTAATTTTGGTTCTAAATTTTTTCAATAGCACTTTTATAAAAGAAATGAATTTTCCGCTGCGCTTTCAATTTTTATTAAAATACAAAAAAATTTCCATTGATCTCTTAAAATCATCTTGTCTCGTTCAGAGCTTCAGCCATTGTGTATATCAGTTAGCTTTCAGGTTACTTCAAGAAGTGAAGTCACGGGTCATTTTGATGGATGTTAAATCTCCTTGCTTATCAATCAAAAAATGACTTGATTATGCTCGTTTGTATATCACTTAGCTCTTGCATCGCCTCAAGAAGTGATTTTAATCGAAACAGTGCGCAGCAATCTGCTAGTGAAACCGTCTTTTCCCGGGCCACTGGTCGGTAACTTTGTGGTATTTCTCCATTACTTCGCTGCAATGTTTTCAGCGCTTCTGAAAGCAAATAATATCTTCTCTTTTCATAAATTTTGGCAAAAATAATCAAAATTATAAGTTTTTTTTTTGAATGATTAACAGTTGAATAGCAGTACTTGCGAATTTTTTTGCAATACTTGCGAATATTTCTGCAGTACTTGCGAATATTTTTGGATGAAAATTGAAAATGAAGGATATTAATATAAGGATTTTGAACTTCGATCTCCATCATCGTAATGCTTTTAGAGCTAAGTAGTCAATAGTTTGATTTCATACTTGTAAATGTTTTCGCTCTTGTAAAAATTGAATGATTTTTGAGATATAAAATAATTATTATAAATAAATTTATTTAGGCAAAATTTTTTACACAAAAAACATATTAAAGTAATGAAAGATTTTTTAAAGAATAAAACAATTCCTTAATATATTCATTCATAACATATTGAATAATACGAACGTTGTAGCTTCTCAGCTACTTTATCCATATTTGAAAAGTTATCTCGTTCAGTATCACTAGACTTTTTATCATCAGCTGCTTTTTGGGATGATAGATTACTAGAAGACTCAACTGATTTGCTTATAGATTCTGAAAAACAAATGCAAGATTATTGGATTCTACTGTCATTCATGTTTAAGATGTAAGATAAAAGCACAACAGAAGTCAGTAAAGAAGCAAAAGAAGCATAGCGAATTTATTAATCTTTTTTATAATGTGTTGTTATGGTAGATTTTCTCACACTGTCAAATTTCGCAGCAAATTTTTTAGCTTTAAAAGTGATTAAAAAATAAAACAAAGATAATTTACCAACAGTTTTCTTCTTTCTGTCAAATAGCGCTTGTAATGGATTCAAGTAAATATTCCGTATCTCCTCCGTGTACTGCTTGGTAATCCATCCCTAGACTGGTCATTTGAGTACAGTCGACAAGAAACAATTCACATACATTCCTCAATTATTAACTCATTTATTTTGTTTCTAACATTTCCTCTGCTTAACAGATTATCCTAAAGTATTTTCAACGATTCAGATAGCTATATAAGATGAAATTTTTTTCACACTCATAGTAATGCGAAGAAAAAGGTACTACAAAATTACTACCACTAATTTAAGATGAAATTTGTTGTGCGCAATGAAGAAAGTTCTTTTTACATTGCTAAGCATTAATAAAAGGCAATAATTAATATTAACAATGTTAATACTTTTTTGAGCTATTTTTTAATTACTCTAATTATTTTACAATTTTTTCAAATTTTATAAAAATTATGAAATATAAATTTTTTTAAATTAATATATTAGCAAGGAAATGATACATAAAAGTCTATCTGTACTTGCGATTTGTCATATTTATTGTACGTAATTTTCTGATAAGCTTCTAAAAACTTAGCGAAATTTTCAAACGGATGCAAAAGAATAGGTCAAAGGGGTTGTTTTAGTACCTGACAGTGAAGTAAAAAAATAGTGGCTTCCATCTTTTCTCGGTCATTATCGTCACCCGAACTCTGTTGATGCTTTGATACTTCTGAACGTTTACCTTTACTTGACTTCATCTGTTGCAAACTAGTGAAACATTAATGCAATGTTGATTACAGTACGATATAATCTGATCTGTCGTATAGATACAGTGCATTGATAACTTAGTGTGGTAGTGAATGCAGACAGTATAATACAATAATGATCGTTCAACATATAACGTCATATAATACAATATAATGACGACTAGTAGTATAACGTTCTGATAAATTTATAGAATACAAATAATG